TCTCACCGGACCAGGCTCTCACATCACCAAGCGCGAAGCGCCGTGAGATATTCGGCGAGTCGCATGAAGGGTGCGCTGCATCCTGCTAAGGGTGTTCGGCATCTTGTGCTTACTTCCTTGCGTACGGATGACAGCTGCGTATGACTCAGTTTATTTTCTGGTGCTTTCACTTTCAGAGGCAGTTGTTAGACGCCGGATTCTCACCCGACCAGGCTCTCACATCACCAAGCGCGAAGCGCCGTGAGGTATGCGGCGAGTCGCATGCAGGGTGCACTGCATGCTGCTAAAGATGTTCAGCATCTTGTGCTTACTTTCTTGCGTACGGATGATAGCTGCGTATGACGTTATTTTTGTGCTTTTACTTCCAGAGACAGTGACACCATGATCCACTCGACCACCATTATGGCTATCGCAAAATACAGAAACAGAGGTTGAAAAAAAAATGGTAACCTGGTTGCCGAGTTCACGACTTGGATTGGCGTGTTTTACAACGTCGTCGCCAAGCGACGAAAACTCAATCCCGATGGTAAACACCGAGGGACGGGGGAGGGGAGAGCGTACTCTTGATGTTTTGCATGCCTTAGCAGTTAGACCATTGACCACGCGTCCTCGAGAGGACGGAGCATTGTTCCCACAGGACCGATCACCGATGGCTAATCGTTCCTTTCTACCTTGCCAAAGGTGGCTCATAAATGTCTTCCCTAGTCTGTCTATCCTAACGATATCCCTTCCCGCCTTTTCAACCCACCTCCTATGCCCCACTACAGCTACCGTCCTTTCCTCTCTATTCCATGCCTCAAACATCTCCCTGTACGTTCCATCTATTTTTCCCAGCTCAGTCACGTACACTTCCCTCTCCTTCTTGTACAACGGACATTCCGCGACTACATGAACACGGTCTTCGCATTCGAAGCCGCAATCACATTTGAACTCGTCGTCTTCCTCGTCTACCGTCCTATGTCTTCGTCGACGTTCTCGAAGGCCTATGTCCCCGGTCCTGAATTTGACCTTAAGCTTTGTTCCTGCATCCATTGGTCCATGTAGGTAGTCCTTGAACCCTATTCCTTCCTTCAACATTCCGTACACTTCTAGACCCTCCTTGTCCTTGGTTTCATTATTTAGATTCTGTTCTTCACTCTCGGCACAAGGAACATATATCTTCTCCTTGAACCCCTGTAGACCCTCCGTTTCCAGCGTTTCATCTTCGTCGATGTCGAGCCCCTTCCATACGTCCTCTACAACCTTGACCCATTCCGTGGGTTGTCTACCCCTCTTTTTGTTTGCCCACTTCGCCTCCCATACAATTCTCGGCAACCTCTCCTCTCCCATCCCGCACATGCGATACTGCCATGTCAGCTTCCTCGCGTCTCTTCCCGACCGTAGGGATTGGATCCCCAATTCTGCCCTGACGGCTGCAATACTTGTGCGCTTGAAGCATCCTAGGATGATATTCGCTACTTTCATCTGCGCCGCCTCGAGTTCTTTCACTACCTTCTTCTTTCTTTCCCATACTTCTCCGGCGTACTCTAAGCGGCGGTACGATTACGCTCTTCAAAACCGTCAGTTTGATCCCCCAATTCCATCTATTTTTGCGAGTATTGG